GTGTGTGTGTGTGTGTGTGTGTGTGTGTGAGCCCTCTGGTGGATGCAGAGGGCTCTGCTGCTTAAACTCAAATCTGATTGGAGAAGATGCACATCGATCGATTATCAGAAAGCGCCATCAGTCAGTGAGTGCGAGTATAAAGGGGCTGACTGAGCCTGGAGTGGACGTTGAGGAGCTGCTCAGGATGCTGCTTTGCCTCACGCACTGTATTTTTCTAATTTGACCAAACGTGATTACAGGCTGAACAACAAGTGCGTCCGACACTCTGCTCCTCCAGCAGCAAAAAAAAACTTTAACTACACAAAGACGGCAGGAAGAACCAGGCCAGAGATGAAACTGCAGATCACGTTCACATTTGTCGTCTTGTTAACAACAAACGGGTAAATCCCTAATTTGGTGACGTAGTTCTGGAGGATGAGCAGTGCTTTACTTCCCTCATCTCAACCTTTATCTTCTCTGGAGTGACTCAGAGAAAACTGAGCAGTAGGTAGGATTCAGACGACCGCGAGATAACACCGCCGTTTTCACGCTGAGCTGCTGTCATGTGCAGGATGTGTGACAGCGGCGAGGGACTCTACACCTTCCAGACCAGAGAGGGGGAGCAGATCTACCAGAGGGTCCACTCGTCCACGCTAGCCATCGCTGAGCAGCACAAGAAGGTCCTGCTGGAGATGGAGAAGAACAGCAGGGTGAGGCGTGACCTTTCCTTTCTGATGATTTCAGCAGACTCGGGTTCAAATTCAACCTTTATTCAAACCCTGTGCGATTACAGCAGCGCACAGCCACAGACTGTATATAAATGATGGAAGTAGCAGGTCAGAAAACATCCAGAAGGGGGCGACTTCCCCGTTTCAAAGAGCATCTTAATTTAAACAAAGCACCATTAAGTGTTAATAAATGCATAAAAAATGTGTTCGTCTCAACAAAGTTTAGAAAAGGTCAAAATAAACTTCCTGTAACGCTGTAACAAACAATTATAATAAATCAAGGCTATGAAGTCCTATGAAATCTCACATTTGTGCTTCATATTCACATTTTATTCAGTTTATTTGGTAAATAAACAGAAAAGCAGTAAATAAAAATCTCACAGAGATAAATGCAGACCTGCCTTGCTCAGAGGCTCAGAGCCAGCAGAAGAGAACATGGGATTACATCATGTGGTTAAAAACGGGCTGGTCGTACCTGTGGCGTCTTCCTGCTGGGACGCTTTCACAATAAAATGAACAATTCCTGATGTTGTGTTTTTTTTATCCCAGCTGCTGTCGAAGGGCTCAGAGTCTGGCTCGTACCCCTGCACCCCCACCGCCATCCTGCCCCGATCCGCCTACTGGCACCACATCACTGGAAACCAGACCGGCATGGATCCCGGCAGCGGTACGCCGCACGCCAACCCTTACATAACATTTACACGAGATTTATACAGGATTGAACTCTTGATGATGTCAGAAGTTCAAAAGCTCCTCCCATAAACTCAAGAACCAAACCTGATTGTTGTCTTCACGGTCGCCTCCTTAAAGCTCTGCACTCGTAGGAAGTCCCGCTCTGACGACCTCCATGCTCCATCTCCGTGTTTACTTTACTTTTTTCATTCTCTTCACCTCCTTTCTCACCTCCTTTCTCACCTCCTTTCTCACCTCCTTTCTCACCTCCTTTGTCCTTGACCCCTGCTGGAGTGAAGGACAAAGGAGGCAGAGGGTCGTTCAGTACAGATGGACTCAGTGTCGTTTTTAAAAAACAACTCAAAACTCACCTTTTTAAAACTGCTTTTGGTTCATTCTTGCTTGTTTCATATTGTCTGTTGACCTTTTTATGACTCTCTATCTTATGTGCAGCACTTTGTGACTCTGTCTAGAAAGGTGCCATATAAATAAAATTGTATTTATTTATTTTATTGACAGATCGTCAAAAAAGACAAAGACAGAAACACATGAGTGACGAGTCGTGTCCAAATACAGAGACGTTACCAGTTTGTGCTTCATAAGAACATCTGTAGAGTCACACATGCAACATAAAGTATCCAGGCAGATATTTCTGTCTTTGCAACTTCAAATAAACATTATTCATAAACTCTTAATATATTCAAACATCATGTTTTGGTGAAGCTGTTCCTCACCTGCTGCTTTTCTCTACGTTTCATTCGTCACTCCACAATGTCCCAAAACAAGAGAAACTCCTGAGTAATCGAGTATTTGCTTCTCGGTGCGCTGTGACCTGAAAACATTGTTTGGAGAGTAAACATCAGAAACGTGCAGATGTAAAGAGTCCGATGTTAGAGGAGCTGCGCAGAGACCCGACAGACAAATTCAGCTTTGGTTTCAGAGTTGTTGGTGGATTGTGTTTTTGTCGTGTCGCGACGCCGACACACACACACACGTGTTGAGGAGATCGATGATAGGTTTATAGCATGAACTTATTCGCTGGAACGTTAAGGACAATTTGCTGCACAGCAAACAGACACGTTTATCCTACCACAGAACAATAAGAGAAGCTACGAGCTCTCCCGCGCTCCGGCTGTGGATGCCAGAACACTCTGCACGCTTTGCAGACTGCTAAACATCACACATCCTATCACTACGCTATCGATTATACACCTCTGAGCACATATGGTTAAATATTTCCTGATACAAATGACAATAATAAAATCTAAACCCATCAATCGATATCGGAGTCAAGTAGCATCAAGGCTCCGCCTACCTCAGGTAACAGGTGTGTTTCTGCTCCGTCTGTAGGTGACGCCGCGGAAGACGAGCTGCTGTCCACCCGCCTGCCTCCCGACCGCCACGCGACGCTGCCCCTGGCAAACACACACACGCAGTCTCAGCCACACATACACACACACTCCCCGACACACTACCCCACCTTCCCCGGACAGTGACACACACACTCACACAGGTGCGTGTGGACTTTGAAGACACACACAGGACCCACATGCATGCAGACACACACACTGGACACTCCCTCCTTATATCTGACAGCCCAACATCACACCTCACAGGATGGAGGGACGCTAACAGCACGCCGTCCCGAGAGCGCACTTCCTGCGGCTGCATCCTGCTGTGTGGCGTGAGGACTGAAAGCTCTCAGCTGCAAACCAGAGACAGAGTGAAGATTGTACGGACGTTTTTATACTGAATTTCTACCGCAGCTTCCTTTTGAAATCACAACAATAAAGAGGAAATGAGCGGCAGCCTGACACGCACACGTGGACCGACGCAGGCCTGTTAGCGTCCTGCTGCTCGCTCAGCTGCTTCCTCCTCCTCACACCAAACATCAGTCTGCCGTCACCTGTGTGAAGATGTGTTTTGATCTTTATTTGACCCGCCCACAGTCATTTACACCTCAGAAAATTAATTTGTAATTGTTCGATTTGCTTGTTAGGTCTGACCTTTAACCGTTTCCAGGTCCGAATCCTCTTCAGTCCTAAAATCAGGGAAACTGAGGAACAGCTGAGGGTGGAAAACAGTCCAATAAAACATCTGTGCAGCTGTTCGCTCAGCTGTGACAATAAAGTTTAATCAAAAGGAGGATTTATGAGGTGAGCAGGAAGAAAGCTCACTCTCTGGCTGAAGGATTTAAAAAAGACTACAAAAGCACAGTTCATGTCATAGACTGTATATAAAGGATGAATGTAGCTGCCCAGATGTGACCCTGATGGGATATGATGTCACCGCAGTGAAACGTGGACCAGCAGCTGAGAGCTAAACGTCAGCGCTGATGCCACTTTTTAGCTCTGTCCATCTTTCTTTACAGTCTGCACACCGAGTGTACGCGTCGGGCTCTCGGCAGCGCCGACCGAGCTCGGTCACTCAGACGTCTCGGGCTGGTTTGGATCTCTCGATGATCCCGAGCTCACTCTGAAGTCAGACGCTGAGAGTTTTTAAACGCGTGCTGTGCGTAAATAGAGCTGATCAACAGCTGCACAGGACCTGGAAGAAGTTCTCTGAGGTCATCTCTTAACAAGCAGATCATCTTTAGGCTTAAAGTAAAAGAAGTCAACGCCACGAATGTCATCATATAGAAACCTTAGGCTGCTTTAAAGCATATTCAGGCCCACGTGGTTGCATTACTGTGGCTCCCTGCACAGCTTAGGTTGTTTTTTTATAGTGACAAAACTATGAAACGCCAACATTTGGTCAAATTTCCAGTTTTTATGGATGTGGGAGGATTGAAGCGATGTATGATCCTGCTGCACGGTGCCATAACAGCACCACGAGGACTGTGAAGACACGCGTGTGAAGAACACGTTTATCACATGTGGATGAATGCCTTTGACTTCACTGGTAGACGTGACTCTGCAGCTCCAAGATCTGCTCACCGAGCCCTGGCTGCGGCGTTTCTTATCGAGTGATTCCTGAGCTCTCCGGGATGTGTCTTATTGCACCTTGGTCTTTTTACACACCCCTGTTGTCATCATCCACGGGTTTTAGGGACATTTGCCTGTCAGTAACTGATGTTCACTGTCCTTACATTTCATTGTTCACTTCTCACTTTTCCCTCTGACAGATGGAAACTCTCAGCCTCTCTGCACAGGTAGAGTTCGTCAGTTTGAGCCTCACATTTGTGTTTCTTCTGGTCCGTAGCCATGTGTGAAGAACTGGTACCTCCAAATCTGAGGCCACGGTTCTGAGCAGGAAACAGGTGGAGTCCCTCCGTACGGGTCAGGGAGGTGTAGCTCCGCCCAGTTCTTTAAGAGCGCTTGGGCTGTTGTTCACAGCAGATCACAATACGGATCTGAAGTGATGTGGATGCCGTCGGTCTTACCCTCACCTTTGACCCTGAGCTGTGTTGTAGATACTGTGAGGCTCCTCTGAAGGAGGAGCTCAGTCTTTCAGGAGGAGGTCAGAGTGTAGCGTCCTTCACACAGGAAGGAGGCAGTGTGAGGTGTTTGGGAGGAGGCCAGACTCAGGACACAGTTTGTGTCTCTGAGCTGGCCTCGTGCTTCCCCAGAAGAGCTGCACCAGTTTAAGCCTGATGGACTGCTGCCTCCAGATAAGCTGTGGAAAATGGATTTGTGGGTGTAAAATAGGAAAATGTGTTCAAACACTGACACGAGTAGAAGTGGAAATACCACAGGTTAGGTTTCACTTCTGCCCTGAGGTCACACCAGAGGCTTCACTGGGTCCCTGAGGTAGTCTGCGATATGACAATAGAGAAACCCTGAAGCTGCAGCAGTGCTGGCATCAGCAGACAGATAGCAGCACAGTTAATCACACACGGCCCGTTTTTCTGCTTCCATTGAGTCCGAATAGTCCAGATGGTCAGGACGTTCTGTTGGATAGCACAGCCATCGTTTCTGTCATCAGTAATATGAGCAACGACCAGCCGGGAGCACGGCTCAGACGCACCACAGGGCGCTCCATTTGGAAACTAAAGTTCTTCAAACTTATGTGGAGGAGCTCAGAGCGATGCCTGAACGGGTCGAGGCTGGTTCTGGATTGGTTATTGATCGTTATCGATGGCGTCAGAGGAGAATGGCAGGTGCTGCCTTTGCCTTCTCTCACACTGAGCTGTACAGGTGAGGTGGAGGTGGGGAAATACCAGGACAGCAGATGCACGTCGAGGTTTTTCCACCGTGGGCTCCGATCAGCTTTCAGCCGCTGCCTTTTGACTCCGCCCTCGTCTTTTTTCAGACTCGTTTTCCGCGTCGTACCCGGACTGTGACGAAGCTGGATTCCTCCTCTGTCACCATCATTAGCTGTTCTTCCATCACTGAAACATGACAGGGCTACGAATTCCATCTGTGCTCCACATGATGGAAGCTGTGTACATATCTGCTATTTATTTCATGTGCATTTGAGAGTGTGTGTGTGTGTGTGTGTGTGTGTGTGTGTGTGTGTGTGTGTGTGTGTGTGATTACTGGAACATGTGTTCATATAAAATACACACACTCTCTGTTGGACCTTGTGATGTAGAAGAAGCTGCTCCACCTTGTCAGCGTGGATCTTCATGAACCAGAAGAAAGCGTTTTTGATCCCATCCTGCACCGCCCACTCACGCCGCGTCCATCCGTCCGTTCGCTCATACACGTTCACGCCTGTGCCGCGCTGCAGTTCATCTATGTAGCAGGAGGAATCGTGCAGAGGGGTGTTCCATAAAGAAGGAGCAGGACAGGCCAGACTTAAAGCTTCATGTTTGTCGAAGAATAAAAGAAAACTTTGACCCTGAAAAGGTCTCTGCTTTGAGGGCCGCGTCTCATGGTAGCACAGGAATGTCGTGTCACATTATCGTGCTAAATCCGGCGTATTGGGCTGATTCCAGCCTGTTTGTTTGGTTTCCTGCTGAGACTCGAGTCTTTATGAAACCCCCTTCTGGCCTCACACACCTAAGTGCTCGGTGGAAGCGCTGAGTGACGGCTTCCCTGCAGCAGTCGTAGTGTGTCTGTGATTGTAGTGTCATCTCCGGCCGTGACCGCCCCTCAGCTTTGTAACCGATGACAATAAATGCCGTTTCCACCTGCTCACACTGTCCACACAAAGTGCATGTTTTAGAGAAAATAAAGTTCAATGTTACTGAAGGATGCGGCTCCCTGCTGTGATGTCAGTCCTTAAATTTTGTTTTACCTCTTATTTTATTATTTTATTACATTTTGAAGCTGCTTGTAAAATATTCAATATTAAGTTTTTTGTGTATCAAATGATTTAACGATGAAAGATCTGACAGTTGTAGGTAGAAACCCAGTGATGGTGGTGCGAGGGAAGAATGAAATGAAAGGTTTAGCTCACAGCACAGAGGATCTGCCTCCTCCCAGATATCTGTGGGTTTTGGTTTTTTGCATTTTTTGTCACATTTATGTGTTTCAGGTCATCAAATGTTCAAATTAGACAAAATGATGCCAGTGATGACAAGATGCAGCTCTTCACGATGGTTTCTTTTATTAAAAGAAAGAAAGCTTTCCAAACCTGCAGTGTATGAAAAAGTGAAGCTAACTAACCCCCAAACCCTAACAACCCTCCAGCCTTGGCAGCCTTCAGTGAGTCTTTCACATGGATGGAGGAATTTCACTCGGACACTCGTGACACATTCACACTGGACTTGCTTGCTGGTGTGTTTGGGATCATCCTGCTTAAGCAGAGTGCTTCCTCGTGGCTCCATCAGCTACACCAAGTCTATAAAGCTCAAACTAAGAAATCAGGACGGGGCAAATGCTTCGTCACAGGTTCAACTCCAGCTGATTTCTGCTACTGATCCAGGAGCTCACATATGTGAATCTTTTCCAGTTTATCCTCTAAAAATGAAGCGTCGCAGGACAAATGGTATAAATGTGTCTTTGTTTTTGGATCATTTTGTGAACTCAGAGGCTTGTTCCCTGCCTGCGCCCACCCTCTGCCGTCGGTGTGAGTCTGTGAGGATCCAGCAGGGGGCAGCAGCGCTCACGGGCTCAGTGAAGGCAGCGGGGGAAGAAGAGGCGGCAGGAAGCGCTCACACAGCCGCTGACCTGCAGCTCCGCTCTCACCTGAACCTTTCTGTCCTCGCTCACCTGCGCCGTGTGACCACGTGACCCGCCGACATGGGCCGGAAGGTGACCGTGGCTACCTGCTGTCTGAACCAGTGGGCTCTGGACTTTGAAGGCAACTGTGAGCGGATCCTGAGGAGTGAGTGAGACCGCAGCGCGAGCTCAGGCTGTGGCCCAGCCAATCACGGCCATGAACAACTCTGCTTTTCATAATACGTATGACGCGTTATCCCCGTGCGCCGTCACAGGGTGCGTGGGTCTGCTGCCACTCGGTAATAATAAAACGTTCAGCTCGCTTTATTTCGATTCAGTCTGTGGGAGGTGAGTCACCCACGCGAGTCACCCACGCTAGTCACCCACGCTCACTGCACATTTCAGCAAACACGCATCAGCAACATGAATCAGTAATAACAAAGAATCCACGCGGCATCATAGCAAAACTACGAGGTGTGTGCGCGTGCGTGCGTGTGTCTGTCTGTGTGCGTGCGTGTGTCCAAACCAGGACACTGATGAAAAATCAAACCATCGTAGTTTTGTCAGAAAGATCTCAAAAGGACTCGACTCCACGTCTGACCTGAAGCCTCGAGGTCAAAGGTCATGTCTTTCACAGTGGACCCTCCACTGTGAAAGACACCCAGACATTTCTGTACGAGTTGCTGGAAAAACAGGAAAACACAGCTAAAAATCTCCTTTACAGTTTCTAAAACTGTTTATTGGGCCAGATTTGAGTTTCAGCCAGGCCGATCCCGGCCCCTGGGCCTTATGTTTGATACCTCTCTCCTAGCTGCGTGGAGGCTCTGACCCGGGTGAAGGGTTGTCGGAGTGTCCTGAGTGTGTGTGGACACAGGCACACACAGACCAGCCGTGGCTGCTCTGACTAACAGTGGCTGAGTCGTGTGCACACTGTGGGTTACTGCAGGTGGACGAGTCACATGACACGAGCTGGCGATAAGAAAATAAATAAAGCTCATGTTAAATTATTAGTTCTGTCACAGGCTGATTATCAGAGTTCTCTGTGATCTCAGGCAGGTGTGTGTGATACTGCAGTTCTCCCGTCTGCCTGCAGGTATCGAGGAAGCCAAAGCTCACGGAGCCAAGTACAGGCTGGGTCCAGAGCTGGAGATCTGGTACGATTCTTTTACGTCCTTATTAAACTCACACGTCATCTGTTGGTCCAACTCTTCTTCTCTGCTTTGTTTCAGCGGCTACGGCTGCGCAGACCACTTCTATGAGTCGGACACGCTGCTGCACAGCTTCCAGGTCCTCAGGAATCTTCTGGAGTCTCCCGTCACTCAGGACATCATCTGTGACGTGGGGATGTGAGTGTTCAGAGTGCAGCGCGAGGCTTTGGCTCCACCTGCTGGACGTGATGTGGCGTGCACCTGTAACGTCTCCTCTCCTGCAGCTCTGACTGTTTCTTGTCCTTTCAGGCCCATCATGCATCACAACGTGCGCTACAACTGCCGCATCCTGTTCCTCAACAGGTACGTCAGCAAGGCCACACCTGCTCCTCCAGGTCGTAGTCTTCCTCCACATGGAGCTAAACAAACACTTTGCTTCTTCATCATAGAAAAATTCTGCTGATCAGGCCCAAGATGCTGATGGCCAACCACGGGAACTACAGAGAGGTGCGCTGGTTCTCCCCCTGGAACAAGTTACGGTCGGTCACTCTGGAGTTCAGCTTTAATCTGTCAGGCGTCTGCAGGTGACCACGTGTCCCTAAACGTGGGTGTGTCTGATTGGTTCTTTCAGGCAGGTGGAGGAGTATTTCCTGCCCCGAATGATCCAGGAGGTGACAGGCCAGGTAACCTCTGCCGTCGCAGTTACCAGCTCATGTCTGGTGAGAGTTTCTCTTCTGAATTTTGTCGCCTCGTTCCTGTTTGCAGGACACCGTCCCCTTCGGTGACTGCGTGCTCTCCACGAAGGACACCTGCATCGGCACTGAG